TTATATTATAAAAGTTGATGATTACAACAAGATCTATCCAATAGAGAGGCTTCTGATAAGTTTTCTTCTAAAATGGTATTTTGCAAATTTGGGGGCCACAATTAATAGGGCATCCATGCATTAAAGACAATTTCTTTCATGCTTTTGTTGTTTTTTTCTTAACTAAAATTGAATAGACCAGGAAAACGTCAGAGTTATCTATCACACAATAAGGAAAAGTATTCCTGTGACTCTTGTTTCAGTTCATAATCACACACAAATACATGTGTATATGACCTGAGCAGCAATTAAGTTTCTTACTATTGATCAAGGCTGGAGCGCACGCATTCATATTCTATCTCTCTCTCTCTCTCTCTCTCTCTCTCTGTCTCTCTGTCTCTCTCGTACTGTGGATTGAATCCAGAGGCACTTTACCACTAAGCTATGTGCCCAAACATTTTAATTTTTATTTTGAGAAAGGGTCTTGCTAAGATGCCTAGACAGGCCTTGAACTTGAAATCCTCCTGCCTCAGCTTCCAGAGTTGCTGGGATTACGGGTATGTACTACAGCACCCAGCTGGATCATGGCTTTTAAACCAATGTCACAAAAACTAATTTGAAAAGCCTACACATTATTAATTTTACATCTGAATGCTTTCTGATATGGATAATTTACTGGAAAAGTAACATGCCCATGGTGAAAAGCAATTTTGTGGAAAAAGCTTTAAAAATAGAGAAGAAAGCTGGTATTTTCAAATACTTAACTTCATAATAAGAAAAAAAATCTAGCTAGCTGAAGTTACATGCCTGTTACATGCTATAACATAGTAAGAATAACGTCAGCTACATCTTCTTAGGAAACGGATATTGAACTAGACCAGAAATCAAGTGCAAAAATGACAAAGAGCACTTACTGCATATCCCAGCACAGCCAGACAGTGGAGAAGTGCCCCCATCCTAGCTTTCTAATAACATGATACCGACCATTGAAGAGGTCTCCAATTTTCACCGGATGATAGCCACCTTAAAAAAAAAGAAAATTCAGAATTCCAGGAAAATAGTACTATTTTCATTTCTTCAACAATTATGGATGTCAAGAATGACAGGTCTGAAATAACAACATCATTAAAATGTTTAAAATACATTTTTTTCAGGATTACCTTCCATCATCAGAAAAGTATCCTCTGAATTCCCATTAGGCTTTTAGCTAATTTTAATAAGAATTTTGAAGGGCAACAAATCATCCAGTACTCCCTAATAATAATAATTGAGGTTTTGTTTTTAAGTCAATGTATGTACATGTACACACCAATTCTTGACATTTATAAATGACTTTTCTTCTAAGTTATAAATCACACTCAATTATTTTTGCATCTGTACAAAGTTCAGGAAATTAAAGGATGTTTACTCTGCATAAATTTGTATACACCAACCATTTTCCTATATCCAATAAGTAATGGTATAACATACATCTTAATTTACCCTCCAAATGGCTTGTTCCTCTTATCACTCTTCCTCCAACCTGAAACTTTTGCATGGAAAAACATTCTTTAGAAGTGAGGAAATCAATTGGCAAAGCAAGACTGCTACCCTATTTTCAGTGAACTTTTTGGGGAGGGAAGGGTGCCTCACTGACATCTGGCACTGAATTTTTAAGTATAGGCAGTAGACTACAAAACAGAATTATAATATGGCATCAATTCCACGAAACATATAAAGAACAATCTAAGAGGATGTTAACATTACCCCTTGTTATAACATTACCCCTTGATATAAAATTAATTTTATTCTCTTTATCTACAGTTTAATCATCTTGTTTCCAAAACAAACAATGCTCTTTTAGCCTTAAATTTGAATTTTACTATGAAAACATTAGTGTTCTCATATTCACAGTCTCTCCTCCCTCTCTCCTACACCATTTCTTCTTTTATTTTTGGCAGTGTTAGGGATAGAACCCAGGGCCCTATGCATGCTAGGCAAGCATTCCATCACTGACCTACATCCCCAGCAGTGATTTTTTATTTTTTTAATATGCAGAATTCCCAAATCACTCAAGAAAGATATGAATGGTTCGTGCCTAGTGCTGAGAGGCAGAAACAGGTGCAACAAGTATGCAAACTACATTTTTCAATAAATATTTGTGAACTCCCAGAGGGCTCTGAGTTACAATTCAATAAATACTATCAATATTTAAAAAGTGGCAAATTAATCAATCAGGAATTTGAATAGACACTGAATTTCTAAGATTCTTACTGCTATGAATATTGTATTTGCTTTTCCTGGATTTTAACATCAAAATCTGTAACAACACTGTAAACTAGAACTATGAACTATGATATTAAGTCAGGAATAAAATAGAACAAATTATCAAATAGCTTATTACTTAATTTTTGTTTAATTCTCTAAGTAATTGAAAGATATGGTCTCTGGATTTCTAGTACAGTTTTTAAACCATTAAAATTAACAACTCAAAAGGAGGAAAGAAAGTTAACGCTTATCAAGTATCAATTAGAAAAGGAACATTATACTAGGCACTTTATTTTGAAATCTGTGTTCCAAGAAACAAAAGTGATTTATGATATGTTACAACTATTCCATACAGGACTGGGGTGGGGAGGGAGGGAAGGAAGGAAAGATGGAAGGAAGGAGTTGGGAAATGAAAAGTTAAACAAAGCAAAGCAGATTTTTTTCACCCCAGGCCTAATGTCTTAACATACTTTGTGAACCTCTAAGAGCACAGGGCACATATTGCACATGCTACATGTTCCATACATATTTGCTCAGGAAATGACTTCCAGTTAACAAGCTTTTTGGAACATGGTATTGTAGGAAACAGTGATGTCTATCTTACTCAATCCTTACATCCACCCTGCAAACTAGATGGTATTCTTTCCACA